TTCATGGACACATAGCCAGATATAAGTGCGCCGGGGATCAACATATTAGCAGCATGGCCTCCCAACATTTCTCCCACTGTTTTTTCAACAGACATACGGTCGGTGGACTGGAATTTTCAATCAGGGACATCAATGTCATGCCCTCATGTGACTGGTATTATTGCCCTCATCAAATCTGCACACCCAGACTGGTCTCCTGCTGCGATTAGATCTGCTCTCATCACTAGCGGTAAATAATTCGATAAAAATAATAATAATAAGGAGAGAGAGAACAATTCCGCACAAGAAATTTTCTTGACTAATTTCTTGGCTTTATGCAGCATACCAAACAGACATAACCGGTGACAGCATACAAGTTGGTGCATCAACAAAGGCTAGCGATCCATTTGACATTGGTGCCGGCCATGTAAACCCATTGAAAGCAATTGATCCAGGACTAATCTATGACATGAACACTAGAGACTACATTATTTTTCTCTGTAACAGTGGTTATACAGAAGATGAGATTAAAGCCATGGTCATCTGCCCACGTGCCAGCTGCCCAAAAAAATATGAACCAAATACCAACATAAATTACCCGTCCATAAGTGTACCCAATCTCCAGTGGGAAACAACGATCAAAAGGACTGTTCAGAATGTTGGACATAAGAAGACAGCCATATACTTTGCGAGCACTGTAAATCCCAATGGGGTGGAGGTTGAGGTTTGGCCAAGAATCTTGATATTCTCACCTTTCAAGAAAGAAAGTACGTACTTTGTTACACTTAAACCGGTAAAGGCATCTCAAGGGCGATATGATTTTGGATCTATAACGTGGTCTGATGGCTTTCATCATGTTAGAAGTCCTCTTGTTGTTCAGCTTAACACCACCGCTACTACTGCTCGAGATGTTGAGGCTTTCTGATTCTTGCTACATTTTTTGCTAACAAATAAATTTCCATCTTATCTGGATTTGAGGGATAAAACTCTAGCCTTTTCCTTTTTCTATTGAGTTTAATAAAGTACTAAACAATCCTTTATAGAGTCCGTTCATGTCATAAGTCGTTTCTAAGTTCTTTCCAGACAAATTAGTCTATCCCAAGTAATGGAAATAAGTTTATCCTTTGTGAAATCATACAAAGAATTTCGTGTATTAAAATACAGAAATCGTCACAAATTGTATTTTGAGAAATACAAGTGGATATTAATTGAAAGGCGGTGATTCAACACCCTTCTGTTTACCCGGTAATGTTTGGCGTTTCCACCACTCCGTCAAGTATGCAAGACCTNACATTTCTCATCAATTTACTATTTCAAAATGCATTTTTACATAAAAATGGTTCCCGAACACCCTCTTAGTGTAGTTTAGTTGATGGAGCTAGGCAACGTTCTAAATCGAAACAAGCATTGTTTTAAAGCCAACTAATTTGGGATAAATTTTGTTGATCATCTAAATACTTGACATTTTAGACAATCACATGGCCTTTATTAATATTGACCATTGGATAATGATACATTTTAATAATTACTAACTAGTAACTGATATTTAATTAACTCATTATTAGTCTTCCATTTATATTAATTTTCAGGGTGAAGGTTTGATAGCCAAAAAAGTGAGAGGAGAACTGGCAGCAGCTAAGAGTTACTTTTATGGAGGGTTGGTGGCATCTCCCCCTCTTCTTCTTCTTGAATTAAATTTTTGCATGTTAATTATAAGTAACTAGTTTGACGTATTTATTTAGGATTTGCCATTCGGGGAATTTGAGGAACAGGTCGGCCGCAGGTAAGGTAATCCTGTGCTTCTCTGGACAGGTAATGAGTGAAGATGCAGAGGTTGCTGCAAGACGAGCCAATGCGGTAGGGTTGATATTTGTTCAACCATTGACTAGGCCAGTTGCTGCAGCTAGCATCGTTCCTGTTGTACGCATTGATTTTATTCAAGGGACTCGAATTGACCACTATCTTGCTCTATCTGTCAAGTCAGTACTTTACCCGCAAAAATTTTAAAATCTCTTCGGTTAACTTATTGTCATTCAATTGTCTAACATGAGTGCAACTTGAAGACTCCCTATCGTAGATATATTACCAAGTGCAACCGCCATCAGAAGTCCACCTGCACCAATAGTTTCAGATTTTTCTTCCAGAGGACCAAGCTCTATTTCCC